TACCTTGATCCACATGAAGTTCAGCCAGTGCAATATTGCTTTTCCACATTGACTCGTTTATGTAGTAATAAATTTGTGCATATCTAGGCTGGCAATCTACTTGTTGTCAACTTAAATATGGTCTACACACTTCACCTTTTCTTTTCTTTTTTGCGAACATCCTACAAGATTTATTTGTAATAAATAATTAAAAAAAAGTCATAATTTCATAGGTGAAAGGGGAGTAAAAATAGTCCGTGACCCGTGGGTGGCCTGAAGTTCGCTCGCGGGTCAGGGTGGGCCCAACCAAGTTAGGCCCGGGCTCAAGCCTAGCTTAGGACCCTAGGCTTGGGCTTAGGCTATCATTTTGAAGCCGAGCCGGGCCCATTGGCCCGCTCAAGGCCTACTCAAAGTCTGACCCAAGGCCAAGCCCAGCCTGTTTGTGGCCCAGTTTCATTTTTAGTGGAAAACAATAAAATTTACGTAGAAAAAATAAGAAAAAAAAAATCCGTCCAAGCCTGAGCTCGGGCCTAGACCCGACCCACCGGTTTGCCCAAGGCCCAAAGACCCCCAAGGCCTATTTTTTTGGCCTTTGGCCCGACCCAAATTTTGACAGAAGCATGCACGGCCTGACATGGGCCGCTCCAACCTCGGACCCGGGTAAGCCGGGCCAAGCCAGGCCAAATTTATACCCCTAGGTGAAATGATACAAAACCGTAGTTTAAATCAAAGTTCACGGTACGAGTTGTTTTAAGAATATTGATTTGAGAAAGTCCCTTTTCACTATAAATCGTAGGCAACCTTTAAAGTGCCACTGTTAGAAAATATGTTCATGCCCCTGTATAGAGGTTGTACTGGGTTTGTTTTGAAACTATCTGTTTTATATCAAGCCTATAATATACTTAGCCTTGAAAATGTATACTAAAATGAAAAGTATAAATGCTAAATGCCTAGGTGGTTTTTAATGGCAGTCCCAACAAAATGAACGTCATTATTTTCCCCTATTTTGATTTGCTTTCCTTAGTTTTATTTTCTGATTATTGTCCAATAATGATCTTTAATTACCTGGAATGATGAAATATGTTGTTGCTAATAAAAAAATGGCATTAACTATGTTGTTGCCTTCTTGCTTTATGATGTGTGAGTATTCATAATGTATACCCCATTTTCTCCTTAGCTAGTCTCATAATCAGGTAGTTGATATCAGGAGGGACAATCTAGAGGCCGGTACTTCATCTTATCATTGCAACTTGCAAGTAAGTTTTGAGACAGTGATTGCTTTATTATCATCCTCCATTTATTTATGTGCTTTTTGTTTTGATAATGATTCCAGCGTTGTACAGCACGTACCCCTTGACTCCATCAATTCATTCATCCTTGGCAATTGGGTTTTACTGCAGGGACAAAGGTATGCATGCTAGCTGACTGTTTTTGATTAAATTCCATACATTCATTTTATTATTGCTCAAGGATTGAAGCTTTTTTTGACCATGATATTCTTCTCTTTTTTTTTTTTTTTTGGGGGGGGGGGGTCATAGATGTTTGGCAGATGATTTTGATGATTTTTGTAACCGTGCTTCAAGGCTAGCTGATGAATCAAAGGGTGCTCCATTCGCCAAGGGCAGCCAATCACTATGACATGTTGAGTGATACTAGTCGAAATCAACAAGACGAGTCTTCTGACATTGTGCACGATAATAATGCAGAGGGCGAAACACAAGAAGACGACTGTGATTGGCAATTCCTTTGACTGAGATGGTTTATATTCTGCGTCTGAAACTGAAAGTTGCAGTTTTGGGTTGGAAACTAGCACTCCATGCTCTCTCAACCTATACACAACCCTACAATGCCTCTCTCATTAGCAAAACCAGAATCTCAATTGGGTTCGCGTTTGTTTGTTATTTTATCCAAATTGTTGGATTATCAAATGTGTAGAATAAATTATTCAACTTATTCATATGATTTACCAAATATGGATGTTGTAATGTAAAAATACAGCTATTTAACTTCTTGTTTCACAATTCTATACCATTTGAGTGTCGAGTATTTGATTGAATTTTTGTCCGTAAATGGGTACTTGGATGTTGTAGTATGCCAGTTATGGGGCTTGGTTCGAGTTATAGAAGTTGGAGTGCTTTCATCGGATTTTCAACTACCCAAATATTGAATAAATCTAGGAACTGATCTATTGAAGTTTTAATTGTCTAAAATTGGCATTGCAAAGGTAGATTTTCATTACTGAAACAATCGATTAATGTTTGGATTTTTCTACTTTTTAGCCTCGTACTTTATTTTAATAATGTCAAGTGAAGAAAAAAAAGAAATGGAGAGAGAATTCACCCAAAAACAAAAAAGAGAGAAGGATACATTTTGATCAACATTTGCGAGCTAAGATTAAAAAATGATTTAGGGGTTTCAACATTTCAGACACAAACAAATTGGGAAAAAATTATTTCCTAAAAATCATGGCATAATCATGGGAAATTCTATTTTCGCACCAAATTATCTTTGTATACATCTTTTCTCAATCCACACTTTTAGTAATTTGATTTTTACTTTATCTCAGTCCACACTTAAAATTCCAAATATACCCTTACCTTCTCTATGCACATCCTCTCCTTCCATCATTTCTCACTCCAAAAACCTTAACCCTAACTACACCAGCTACGAATGACGGCAGCAATGACATCAACCACCGCCCCTTTCCAGCCTCTCAGCCAATAGAACATATGCACATTCAGATGTTGGTGCCTTTTCCAGATCCACATCCTAACAGACAAAATGCACCCAATTTAGATTTGTAATAGGAAGAAGATGAAGCAATTCAAACAGCAAGTGCAGATGCAGGTGCAACATTTACAAAACTTACAGTTATCAACAACACCTTATACACATACCTTTGGCCTAGGAATGGGTGAAGCTACCCTACTGGACTTGATCTGGTGAAATGCTTCTTCAACAACTTTACTTTCACCAATAAATTTTGGATGTGAAGTGTTTATATAGTTCATCTAGAATGCAGAATTAGATAAATTGCATTGGTACATAGATCATGATCATTCTAGAAAAATATGGAAATGTGCATTTACAATTCATAAACATTGAAAATTTAAATACTTAGAAACACATGTACAGGGGATGAGTTCAAATATTTAGATGCATGGTCACAACTCCGAGGATGAGGTTTAGGAATGGGAGGCGATGGTCGGCGGTGAAGTGGCAGGTGAAATGATAGTGGGTGAGATGTGCATGGAGAATTGTGAGGTGTGGGTGAGGTGGTGGTGGGTGAGATGGTAACTTTGTTGAAGGATAAAATTGTGATTCTGGAAAAATTTATTAAATGTGTGGAGTAAGGAAACTTGGTGTGTGGAAATAGAATTCCTCCCTAATCATAGATCACTACATAAACATCCATATAGTGAAATCATACACGACAATTTAGAAAAAGTACTTTGACACGAACCCATTACCGAAATACAAAAGAGCTGCCCCTAATCAAGTAGATCCCACAGCTTCCCCTCTCATATAAACGAAAACAGACAAATTAAATAAAATTTACAAATATTCGACCACAATTTATTTGGTGCACTTGTTATAAATTACAAGTAAAAATAAGAAAGTAAAAGTTAAAATTACCACTCATCCAACTATTAAATAATTATTTTTTGTGATTTATTTAAACTATTTTTACTTAATAAATTGTAAAGTCAACATACACTAAACAATTTGACACAACTTTAAAGTACACAAATTATAAATAACTCAAATAAAATGAACCAAACAACACCACGTATTGTTAAAAGAAGTGTTTGTCCATTTTTTTTTTCTCTTATATGGTGCTTACAAGAAACTCTATAATCTTATATTTTTTAAATACTATTATAAGGATATCAAAATTGACATTATATTTGTTTATTTATTATCAAACTAGCATTGATCTAATGTAATACACAAATTAAACAAAATGGTCATGCTATATTTTATAATTTTTAATTAAATTATTTATTTGTGAGTCTACATATATATAAATAAATATTATTATTTAAGTCCAATATATTTGCTCCAGCATTGAGTGGAGAAGCATGTCCAATTCCTCTTCCTTCAAAGGTGTTTTGTTTCCTTCTAGTACAAATTTCACCAAATTGATTTTATATACTGACACTACATTTTTCTCATCATATTTTATTTTATGTTTTTTTTAATTATAATTTTACTTTAATTTAAAATTATCAAACAAAATAAAATAAAAACTTCAAACTTAAAAGAGAGACCAGAGTTTAAACCCAAAGATAGACAAGAGTTTAACTAATATAAACAGAGTTGTAAACACTAAAATAAACATAAACCTGGACAAGAGTTTAAACAAAACTTAAATTAAATTGACAATTCGTCAATGAGAATTTTTGATTGAAAACTTAAAATTTACTGATACTGCTTCAAATCAAAGATAATGATTCACTCATCCAAATCTCCACCACCGTTTGTAAAACCACCATTTCTACCATTTTCAAAGTCTGATAAACCACCATTTCCAAAGTCCGATAGTGGTGGTGACAGTAGAATGATAGCTGATGATGGAGTGCCGTGGTGTTGCTTGCATCAAGCTTCCCACTAAGGTTGTCAAGCTTTCAGTCTATAGCATCCATTTTTTGACTCAAGTTGCCAAGCTTTCCATATTTTTTCTTTTTTTTGTTATAGAAAAATTCTCCCTCTCTAGTAGATCCAAGGTAGCGACTCTCGCATAGATCACTAAGGTGTCCTATTGTCCGTTTCATCCCTCGAAAGTTATGATTATTCAAGGCATTGGAGACATGACTTTGAAGAGCCTAGCCACTCTCCTTTCTGTTGCAGGAAAGTCTCTTAAAAAGGCATCGGTAAGGTTATTAAATCCATGACTGGCATCGATGCCAAGAAACAAATGAGGGCAGTTACAAGAATTCTATCAGATACTAAAGTCATGAACAAAAAGATAAATGACATGAATGGAAAGTTTGACAACCTGACTAAAAAAATAGATGTTAGGGAAAAGTTCAAAACATCACTGAAAAAATGGATGCCATCCATGACATCTATTTTTTAAGTGAAGTTGTCAAACTTTCTATCTATTTTTTTAGTTAGGTTGTCAAACTTTCTATCAATCTTCTTGTCCATGACTTTAGTATATGACAGAATTATTGTAACAACTCTCATCTATTCCTTGGCACTCATGCCAGTCATGAATTTAATGACTTCTACCGATGCCTCTTTAGGAAACTTCCCTACAATCTTGTTTTGTGTTGCTGTTCTGTTTTAGGGGTGTAACTAAGAAGCTGTGCTTATTTTTTTTAATTATTTATTTATTCTGTTTTATGCTATTGGACTTTAGTGCTCCGCATATTTTGGTTTTTGTGCGCACTTCAAGTGGAACAGCTTGCTAATAAAAAAAAGTTTTCTCATGCATAGAGAACCAAATGGTCACTTGATTGAAGGTTTGTTGCTACTTTCAGGTTTATCAGAATGTTAAGATGTAGATTTAATTTTAGGCTAGGGTTCATTTTGTTTTCTTGTAATGTTTATGTGGTTTGTCAATTTGTGTCTTGGCCAATCATGTTTTCTTCCTTTTGGACTAAATGTTTAATACAAGTGTTCTTTTCACCTTAGTTTTGTAAAATGTTATTATTACCTTATTGCCAAGAGGAAAAAATCATAATAATGAACTACTTACAATTGCAATGGGCACAGGTCATCGTGCAACGCCCCATAACTAGTGTATACATATGTAGCAGGCCTACGAGTTGTACCTTTTTTGGAGTAGCCTATGAGCTATACCTCACCATTGTAGATGATCTCTGCAAATCTCCTCCCACACCTTTCCCCTCCCGTACAACTCACCACCCTCACTCTCTTTCCACTGCAAACCCCACCATCACTCTTCGGCGACCCACTGTCGCGATCCTTACACCGCAGCACCCTCAATACTTCAGAGACCTCATCTCCGACTGTCAAAGCTGTTGGTTAGGGTTTGGTTGTGATTTCCACCTCGCAAGCCCGTCACACTTCGGCTCCAAGAGAGGAGAGTGAGATTCAAATAGAGAGAGAGAGGGGTCAACAGGGAGGGTAGCTAGGGAGTGACTGCCTATTTGACCGTCGGACTTTAAAATGGCCGGAGAAAATGCCGGCCGAAGTTGTTGGGTTGGGGTCAAGGGTAAAATTGTTTAAAAAAAAAAAACACTTTAATTCATTTTGAGTCATATCACCTCACATTTTTTTAAAAAAAGTCAACTTTTAACTATCTTCTCAAAACATCTCTAAAGGTCACAAGTGTGGACTATACATCCATGTGGGATATGTGGTCAGATATCCCTAACAGTATCCAAAGTAAAAAATGTAACCATGCTCAAAATAACACGTGTTAGGGGTAAAAGTGTTATGTTGTGTCTATGTAGGGTAATATATACTAGTCTATACATATAAGTTTGTCCCATCATTTCTTCTCTCGCTCTAGTCTTTTCATCATACACACTCAGTTGTAATGGCTAAGAGAGCTTCTCTCGTCGTTGTATTTTCCATCATCAAGCACCATTTTAAAAGAGCTTCGAATGATGCAAAAAGCTTAGGGGTATGATTATTTTTCATTTCCTTTCGATTTATGTGAATTTTTTGACTTTTTTTTTTTGCTTTTTCATATGAAGATTGCGATTATTTCGATAGATAGAAGATGAAGTTAAAAAAAATTATGTATGGAGAGCAATATGAGTTTCTTCATAAAAACATTGAAAAATGATGAGCTGAAACTGGATGAGGAGAAGGATGAGAAGGAGACTGATGGGAAGAAAAAGGAGGAGGAGCTTGTTGTTAAGGAGAAATATGAGAAGAGGAAGAACGATGAAGAGGAGCTTGATGAAAAGAAGATGGTTGTGGAGGAGGAGATGGATGAAGAGGAGCTTGTTGAAAAGAAGAAGAAAGATGAGTTCTATTTGTCTTCAATGAAATCCCTCTCAAAGGTTATGATTATTCAAGGCATTGGGGACGTGACTTTGAAGAGTCTAGCCACCCTCCTTTCTGTTGCAAGGAAGTTTCCTAAAGAGTCACGGTAGAAGTCATTAAATTCATGACTGGCATAAGTGCCAAGGAATAGATGAGAAATGTTACGTTAATTTTGTCATATTTGAAGTTGTCAAACTTTCCATCTATTACATCTATTTTTTTAGTTAGGTTGTCAAACTTTCCATCAATCTTCTTGTCCATGATTTTAGTATATGACAGAATTCTTGTAATTGCCCTCATGATTTTAGTATATGCTAGTCATGGATTTAATGACCTCTACCGATGCCTCTTTAAGAGACTTTGCTGCAGCAGAGAGGGTGGCTAGACTCTTCAAAGTCATGTCCCCAATGCCCTGAATAATCATAACCTTTGAGAGAGATTCCATTGAAGACAAATAGAACTCATCTTTCTTCTTCTTTTCAACAAGCTCCTCTTCATCCATCTCCCCCTCCTCAAGCTCCTCTTCATCATTCTTCCTTTTCTCATATTTCTCCTTAACAACAAGCTCGTCCTCCTTTTTCTTCCCATCAGTCTCCTCATCCTTCTCATCAAGTTTCAGCTCATCCTTTTTCAAAGTTCTTATGAATAAACTCATATTGCTCTCCATACATAATTTTTTTTAACTTCATCTTCATCTTCTGTCTATCGAAACAATCACATTCTTCATATGAAAAATCAAAAACAAAAACAAAAACAAAGACAAAAACAAAAAAAAGGTCAAAAAATCACGTAAATCGAAAGGAAATGAAAAATAATTATACCCCTAAGCTTTTTGCATCATTCGAAGCTCTTTTAAAATGGTGCTTGATGATGGAAAATACAACAACGAGAGAAGCTCTCTTAGCCATTACAACTGAGTGTGTATGATGAAAAGACTAGAGCGAGAGAAGAAATGATGGGACAAACTTATATGTATAGGCTAGTATATATTACCCTACATAGACACAACATAGCACTTTTACCCTAACACATGTTATTTTGAGGATGGTTACATTTTTTACATTGGATAATGTCAGGGATATCTGACCACATATCCCACATCGACATAGAGTCCACACTTGTGACCTTTAGAGGTGTTTTGAGAAGATAGTTAAAAGTTGATTTTTTTATTTTTTATTTATTTTTTTGACTTTTTTTTAAAAAAAGAAGTGTAAAAAATGTGAGAGGTGATGTGACTCAAAATGAATTAAAGTGTTTTTTTTTTTTTTAAAAACAATTTTACCCTTGACCCCAACCCAACAGCTTCGGCTAGCATTTTCTCTGGCCATTTTAAAGTCCGACGACCAAATAGGCAGTCACTCCCTAGCTACCCTCCCCATTGACCCCTCCTCTCTCTCTCTGAGTCTCACTCTCCTCTCTTGGAGCCGAAGTGTGAGGGGCTTGCAAGGTGGAAATCACAACATAACCCTAACCACCAACTCCGACAGTCAGAGGTGAGGTCGCTGAAGTATTGAGGGTGCTGCAGTGTAAGGATCGCAACAGTGGGGGAGAATGGGAGCAGTGGGTTGTCGGAGAGTGATGATGGGGGCGAGGTTTGCAGTGGAAAGAGAGTGAGGGTGGGTGAGACGTACGAGGGAGAAAGGTGTGGGAGGAGATTTACAGAGATAATCTGCGATGGTGAGGTATAGCTCATAGTCTACTAAAAAAAAAGTATAGCTCATAGGTCTGCTATACATATGTATACACTAGTTATGGGGTGTTGTGCGTTGCACGATGACCTGTGCCCATGGCATTTGTAAGTAGTTCATTATTATGATTTTTTTTCTCCCAGCAATAAGGTATAATAACATTTTACAAAACTAAGGTGAAAAGAACACAAGTATTAAACATTCAACCCAAAAGGAAGAAAACATGATTGGCCAAGACACATATTGACAAACCGCATAAACATTACGAGAAAACAAAATGAACCCCAGTCTAAAATTAAATATACATCTTAACATTCCTCAAACTGATAAACCTAAAAGCAACATCATCAGCAACAAACTCTTCAATCAAGTGACCATTTGTTTCTCTATGCATGAGAAAACCTTTTTTTATTAGTAAACCATTCCACTTGAACTGCGCACAAAAACCAAAATATGCGGAGCACTAAAGTCTAATAGCATAAAACAAAACAAAATAAATAAATGATTTAAAAAGAATAAGCACAGCTTCTCAATTACACCCCTAAAACAGAGCAGCAACACAAAACAAGATTTTAATTCATGATCTCCAAATTAATCTTAATCCAAAAGGCCACTCTTACCTAAATCAAATCAAATGTACCTCATTAAGTGGCAAATCCTTATTGGTTATTCTATTATAGTTTACAACCAAAAGGTTTGTCACTTAACATTGAGATACAAGTCATCAACCCAAAAAAATAAAATAAAAAATAAAAAAAAATTAACTATTAAGGAAAAAGGCAAAATTCAGAAAATTTGTAAGAAAAAAGAAAAGAAAACCACATACATAGTGCCCAATACTAAAATGACTCTAAAATCCAAGTGCACATATGGCGCGAACAAATCAACTTCAGTTGCTATTATCTCATGCAAAAGAAATGACAAAGTTGCAACATTATTGATCTGCAAAAATGCATGGATAAGCATTTTAGAAGGTTGCTTCTAATTGCAACAATATAGGTACAAATGTGTCAGATAGCATTGCCAAAACAATAATCACAAAACCAACCAAAGGAACATGTATAATCTATCAATCTATCTATACTATTATAAAGCGAAGGTTGTTGGTGGCGTTTACACAAACATGTCCCATATTTTTAGAGTTTTTGTAAAAATTATTCAAAGCGGAGGACGGTCCTCGAACCCATGACCATGGGTTTAATAATGGGTCTTATAACATATGTGAAGAATAAAAATGTAAATACACTCTGGTGAGATTGAATAAATAATATATATTATTTGTTATTATTAACCAACATGTGGATAGACAAATAAAAGGAGTATTTGAAATTGAAGAGCTAATAGGAAGATAAATTTTCAGAAAAATATTTTTTTTTTGGAAGTGTATAAAATAATATGTATGAGAAACCCCTGTCAAAGCTATAAATTGAAACATGTCAGGTTTGAAAAGAATGGGCATGGTAGAGTCCTTATAACAAAGCACATTACAAATAAAAAAAAATATATATAAACCAACAAAACAATCCATGGTGGCTCCAAACTACCCCATGCATGTATATAAATATTATGCTCAATGGATAATTCCATCAACCCCAGATCTATGCACATAAACAAGAAAAGAATAATCACAAAAATTGTAAAATATTGATTGAGAAAAAAAAGATACATGAATAAGAAAAAGAAAAATCACATATCTATGCACTTTGAAAACACTTTTTCCTCACATAGATAAATAAAATTTGTAGTTTGAGCCATAACTAAAACATGTAACTTTAAAGAAAATCAAAACTCATTTACAAAGCCTCATGGATCTGAACTTCATACCCAAGATGCCAAAAGAACACAATATATGCACACATAAAGAACATTTACGTAAAAGTATTAGCAAAACTGAATATCAAGTGAAAATAAGAAAAGGTAACTGGACAATGAATTTTATTATTTATTTTTCTTGGCAGGAAAAACACCAATTTCTACCTAGAAGGTTTGAAAAGGAAACTGTGTTCCTTATCCCTACAAAAGAGAATCTTACTTGGACTCTTCTGCTTAAAATACTAAAAGGAAACTATAATAATTATGTTAAATTTAAACAAAATAGTGACTTGAACTATGAATTTAATCATCTGACCACGGTAGAATAGACATTTAACATTGGTCTTACAAAAAAACAAGTTAAGACATCTCATTTTTCACCCGTAGAACAAACCTTCAACATTGGTCTTACCAAAAAAACAAAAAAAAAAAGTATTAGCATTGTTCCATTTCTGGAGAATGGTGCCAAAATAGAAATATAAAGCAAGCATCTAACCTTTTGACAAGAATGGCGAGTGTACTTCATGAGTGATGTAAAACTTTAGGATATTTGGAGTAATATTTTGGGGATAACCAAAGTCCATGATCTCTGCAATTTTTGATAGGAAGAAGAGCCCAATCTAGCATATATTAAGCATTTCAAAAGTACAAATATCAAAAAGTTCAGCTTCGAAGATTAAGAGTGTGGACCAGAAAGATCATACAACAGTAGTGCATAATTTGCAATAAAACGCATGGACAAAAGCAGTTTTGTCCACGCGTAAGTATGTGCACATATGCATTTGATTAAATTGAATCAGGTGGCCATTAAATGTATCTTATATTGTTGAAAATATGCAGCAAAACATGATGAAAAAGGGCAAGACACAAATAAAAAAATAAGATAATTTCTAAAGATAACTTTTATCAAACGTTGAACACACAAACTATGACTCAAAAAAAATAGTAACAGTTAATAATTGCAAGTGACTGAGTAATGAGGAATCTCATTATCCTTCTACTCAAGAAGGGATATTTTTGTTTTTAGGTATCTACAAGCTGCAAACTAACATATGTTCTAACTTTCAGTAAAAGAACAATTAAAGTTATTGAACTTCAAGCAGCTATGGCGCAGCTATGGCAAAGCTATGTTGATACAAGGTGTTTGACTGCAACACCTCCTAAAAGATATAATGGGGAAAAAAAATAAAAAGATTCTATCTTGAACCTAGATTTAAATGTAATATCAAAATGAATCAAGCTTATGTTTAAAAGTAAGCATAGTTAGAATTGCCCTTTTGACCATAACAATGAGGGAGAAACCAAGCACCTCAATCATTACAACAAAAAATTTCATAATGAGAAATTAGTAATTATCCATACAAAATGACAAGCACAAAAACATTGGAAATCTATCCCTCAAAATCCAACAAAAAGTTAGCCCACAAATATGACAAATTGAATCACCAAGTTAATGCAATCCTAAACATTCAAAAATCAAAAAGATTAGAAAGCAACCATCAATACTCATATAAAAAATAAAACATTTTTCTAAAAATACACAAACAAAGAAATTGCAATAATAAGAAATAAAGAGTACCCATTAAATGTTTAGAAACTACTTGAATTGCGTGGTCGGCTTCATAAATACCTAATTTGCAAAGTTCACTCAGGCCTTGTTTGGGAAGTGAAATTTAGCCTTTTTTAGGCTAAAATTCACAAAAGGACAAAATAGGCTAAAATAGCCAATAAGACAAAATGTTACATCAAACCCATGACCATTTTACTTTTTCTCTCACAAACATCACATTCAACTACAAAAAAATCCAATCATCTTCCCAAACACAAAAATTTTAACCTACTAAACTAGCCAAAAACTAAAATAGCCTACTAAAATAGCAACTTCCCAAACACCCACTTAAAAGATTAAAGTGGCCTTACTTGATAAAAAGTAACAAAGAGTGAAACTCCTTAACTTTCATATGTTCTATCTACAGTCATTGTATAACATTGAAGCTAAGAAACATGAAACCAAAATATATATACATATATGGAAAACAAATTTGTAGCCAAAAGAAAGCAAAATCTAAGACTTCGGTGTACTTCCCTTGAAAAAAATAAAATAAAATAAAATAGAACAATGAATAACAAACCAAAGCAATAAAAGCAGAGAAAAATGATACTAACAAAAGTAAGAACAAGAAACAAAGCTCTAGAAAGAATGAAAAATCAATAATAATATTTATTTACCTTTTAAATAAGAAGATTGTTAGCTATTCTAGTTGTGTTTCAGCTTCAAAGATTGACCCTGGAAATCAGAAGGAAACCAAAAAATGTAGTTATGTTTTTAAAAACAGAAATAAATAAATAAAATAAAACACAAAGATAATTGAACAAAACAGGTTGTTAAGAGCTTCGGTTGAAGATGATTGCCTTCAATGCAGGAACAATGGCTTGAAAACAGAGAGTCTATTTGATACCTCATTTGAAATTGGTTGAATCATGCGTAGTTGAACCCATAGATCTGGTCAAACACAGCTTTGAGATTGTCGTACAAATCGCAAATTGATCGTCATCAAGATCATCTACTTTAACCTATCTCCAATGGTTTTTAGATCATCATCGTGAGCCATTGATCGTCGTCCAGAATTTGATCTCACTATAATGGTCGAGAGAGAAAGATAAAGACATGTAAAGGACTGAGAGAAAGAGAAAGCAAAACTCAATAAAGGTGAAGGTCAATAAAACAATAGAGTGAGTAATCTATGAATTTACCAATTAACCCAAAACTCTTCAATAAAACAAAAGCTAAAATCAATAAAGTTGAAGGTCAAAACGGAAAGAAAAAAAAAGAGCCATTGTTACTGTACAAGGCGACAACTCCCTCTTATATAATAGTAGTATAGATATATATATTTTGAAAGGGTCCTATTACAGTGTGCAACCCCTTAAGGGTTGCACACCATATGCAACTTTATTATTGGCCATTGGATTACACAAATACATCCTGACCATTGAATTCTTTAATTTTGAAAAATTGGACACCGGAGCAACCAGTTGACCACCATCTCCAAAAGTATTAACGTATTCTCTCTTCTTTTTCTTCTTCTTCTTCTTCTTCCACAGTGTTCTCTCGCTTTGCTTTCATCTCTCCCTCTCCCTCTACTGAAAAAGTCCCTCCTTGGATTGATCTCTTCCCTTGCTCCTCTCGCTTTCTTCTCTCTCTACTGCGCTCATTCGTCTCTCTTCGTCTGGCTCAACTGGCTACAGGTTGTAAGTGGTTGTTCGGTTTAAAACCCTAATCTAACCCAGTGAGCCTCTGTTTTTTTTTTTTGAAGAGCAATCAACAAGATATGTCTCCCTTTGATTGTTTTTGAAACCCTAAACCCTCTTCTAAAACTCTCTTCTTCCCCATTTTTTTGGATATTTCTGAAATCCTCCTTCTAAAACTATACTCTCTAATTTTTACCCTATTTTTTGTCTCTAGTGTTCTATTTGAATTTCTATTCCAGTCTCTCTTGGCTCACACTAATTCAAAATTTGTACTGAAGCAAGGCTTCATAAGAATTTTATTCTACTTTGCTATTTATACATCTCAGTTGACATTCATAATGAAATAATCCATTTTTACATTAATCAATGTAGTATTTTGTAACTATATTGTTGCTTCCATGACTTGTTCTTGAGTTGTTGCAAAATATTTCATGAGAAATTTTGGCATTAAAATTATAGGGCTAATTATGTTATTTGAATTTTGATTGCATTTAAGATGTTTGCAAAAATGCCTAGTTCGTTAGCAACTTAAACGAAAGTATTTTGGAACTATAAAAACTTGTGATTGACTTAACATGTTATCCGAAGATTTATCCCAAAATATATTTAGTGATATTCACATGAAGCAACTATAACTTGTGGTTGGGACCTCCAAATTTGTAAGTATTTTTGGTAATGTTTAGTACTTCTTGTTCTAGTTGAAGTAAATAGCCATCTCAAGTAAATCATTTGTTTGATTGGTTTTTAAAAACATATATATATAAGCGAACGTAGTTCACATACAATAGAAATACTTCTAAAAATGCTAATCAAATAGTGCTTGAACTTCACTTGTATCCTTGTTCACGCATAAGCAGTTGACAAGATAATGGAGAAGAGACTCCAACCAACAAAAAAGTGTGAAAAGCTACCTCCGCATACTTTTTTCAAAGTGTATTGATGCTAAGATCATCCATGAATTAGTGTCTTCCTCTAAGCGTGGAGGCTTTCCTAGCAACCATGAAAGATTAGTGTCGAACTTTAGAATTGAAGTAGTGGAAAGTGTGAGAAGGGAAAATTTTGAAATCTTTTTTTCCCTTGTTGTTTAGCATGATAAATGATAATGTTGAAAAATATAAAATTGTTAAATTTTGTGTACAACCCATAGCAACATGGTAGGTTGCTTTTCAATTTCTTGCAAAATATACATAAATGTTTCTTGCAAAAAATAAAGAACATTTTTTTCACTAGTTTGTCACTTTTGATTTTCGAGTCCTGTTGCCATGTGCACCTTATATCTTAACCATTGAATCTCCACAAACTAATTTGAGCCATTGAATAATTTAATGAAAAAAAGTTGAAACCTTCTCAACCAATATAATTGTTATATCTTAACCATTGAATCTCCACAAACATAATTGTTATACAGAATGTCACAAAAGCAATGTCAAAACTTGAGCAATCATATCGTTCAATTTTATGTATGAATTTTATATTTACATAGCATTATTCGTTTTATTTTCCAACAGTGCCCTTTTTAAAACCTTATCAACGAAAATAGCTCTGCAATTCGTAATGCTGATAGTGTTTTGTTTATTTCTTAGTCTAAAACCAAAAATGACCCAAAAATACGAAGACGAATTTTTTTTTTTTTTTCAACGAAAATACAAAGACAGTTGGGTTCATATAATATGGTCATTCCCCATTTGAAGTTTGCTTTCTATTCTAGGAATTGGAAGAGGTTATGGTCTTTTTTTTTAGCCCTAGTTAAAACTGAAAACCTATTTTTCAAAACATGGGGACTTTAACGTAATTGCGGATCCAATGGTAATGATTGTGGAATATATACTTAAAAAATAATAAATTATCTGTTTATATTCAATCTATAGAAAATTTGTAGCTCAAAGTAATCTTGGATTGGATTTATATGCAGTTTTACAATATATGATGAAAGTAAATGTATTACTTGAAGAGCTAAATGATTATATTTGTGTGTTTGTGTATCTGGTTTAGATTATATTTGCTCAATGATTTTTAATTCGTTTTGTCCTTTTTCTCTTGTTTATTTATTTTCTTTTGCATATCAAATGCTAGTTTACTTATGAATTGCACACTATGTACACACACACACACATACATATATGCATATGTTCTAGACTGTGTTTAATGAGTTGAAATATATGTTTTTTTTTTTTTTTTAGTTTTTGATTTTTAGTTTTTTAAGCAAGCAACAAAAGCCTTTATATGTTGTTGGCATGCTAATGGGTGCCCCCACAATCAAACTCAAGTTTTGGCTTGGTCGATACCTTTTGACAACCTTACTAATACAAAAAATGGCAAGATACTCTAGGAATCTATCTTACTAATAATAATAACCAAGGGCCTTTTATATGCCATGTCATTGTAAAGCTACAACTTAGAGTAGGCCTTACCTTCTATGGAATACAAATTCATGCACTTTGTACCCCTTTTCTTTAACCTAAGTTTCACCTTGTTTTTAGTTTCAATTGTGACAATCAAACATTTACATAGTTTCAGTCAAGTTTCAATGTCAATCCTCTATCAAAGATCTCCCATCAACTTTGACAGGGTGTAAGCATATGAGTGGATAACACTTTCACCCCCAAGTCTCACTTTAGTGTTTAATGAGTTGATTTATATTGTAAAGTAGCTCAAATTGTCAGAAGTCATGTTAATGGGTTTACTTGTCTATATTCTGCTCTGATCTCTTTTAAATTGTATTATTCTGGTCATAATTTCTTGAACTAGTAAATTGTTTGGTTGAGTTATTTAATTGGAGCCTCAACTTGAAATTTTTGTTGAGCTGCTCTATTTGAATAGGAAACAAAACAGAACAAATTGAAAAGACTAAAATGCTTCGTTTAAGAAAATTACTCCTTTTAATGGTTGATTGTGAAATACATTTATTAATTGAATCTGATACTCCACTCGCAGATTCCAATAGTGATAGTTCCTCTGCTAGGCATTGAGTGGATTCAATTAAGGACTTGATAACATGCTTATTCCCCTTGGCATTCAGTTTAAGTTAGTGCATTTCCTTAATTTTCTAAACCCAATACAGTCACCCATTTACATTATTTTATATATAAAATATAATAGACTGACTGAACAAACATGAGATGTTAAAATTGTGTCCTTTTTGTTCTTTGAGTGATTATGTTGAATTTTTGTGTTAGTTATTCGTGAAATTCAACCTATGATGCTATGATGTTGAACTTGAGTGATTGCTTCCTCATGAATTTTTTCATACAATATTAGATGATGATTGTCATATGGCTGGGTTTTAGATGATGATGATATATATATATATATATATCTAGATTTCCTTTATTCACCCTATTACTTTAGCACATTTATTGCTTGATGAAAGCCCATCTCTTGTATGTAATCTAATTGACATATCTCTAATTTTCACAAATTAGGAAAAAAAATGTGTGTTTGCCATGAATGGATAATGATGCTCGACCGAAGCATGAACTCTTAAAATTTTGTTTGAACAGCTTATTGAAAACTAGTCCCTAGGAGCTGTATTTCCATTGTAAAACCAAGTTTTGTAGCAAATATATATAAAGCACAAAGCAAAAGTTTCACACCGGTCCACTCAAACCTTGAAAGAGAATAACAAAACCAGCAAGTAAAAAGTCACCAAATCAAAAGAATAAAAATAAAATTTACATTAAGTGAGACAAAAATAAACCAAGAAGAATTCAATTTTATTGAATCCACCGTGTCAAGCCATACATGCATTTCAAGTCAATGGAAGAATTCAATTTTATTGTAAACCAAGAAGAGCATGAAGTGAAGAATTTCTCAAAAAACATGAATAGAAATGGAATTAATTGATAAATATTTGTCAACAAATAGTCTAGTCCTGAGGGGATATATTTGGTCATCACAAACAAAAGAAAACCAGCCTAACACCATTACAGACTTAGCAATGAAATTGATTGCCGGTACATTAGTCACTTGTAATTTTATAAGGGCAAAGCTAACTTGATATAAAATCAAGGACAAAATGATCTCCAAAAAAAGAGTAATACCAAAAGCTTTCATTTAAATCATCATAGTTCCCACAAGGAATGCTTTAATATCCTTTTCTACTCCTAGCAACTTCCTTTTAGAACAAATTCAAATATTATTTAACACGAGTTTACAAAATTATAAAATCTAATCTTCAAAGAGAATCGAAAATTACTAGAACAAATCACCTAATAAACATCTCATATAGACACGTGATATTACAAAAACCAATACAAGACAAAATGTGAAAATGACACTACAAAATCCCGCAAATAATATAAGATAAAATCGACATGACAAAAACATAATTGTAATATTATTCAATTACACAAGCATACAACAATCAAACTTGGTTGATAGGACTATAGAAATAACTAACCCTTAGGCCATTGCCATTAGGAAGAATGACATGATCCACTGCATTAAATAACTTAGGGCTACAAACAATAACAAAAACGTAAAAATTAGAACTTCAAAAATGGACAATCATATAAATAGATCTACAAATATCTATGGAGAGAACTAGAGATTAGGGTATAGGTTTGAATTTATAAAGTCGGAAACAATAGCACCAAAATACAAATTTTTTTACTGCAAAAAACGAGATCTGATGGTAACTATTGCAGAAAACATAAACATAGCTAGGGTTTAGAAATCGGGAAAAGGAGAGGGAGTTAGAGAGAGAAATTGAATTAACCGGTGCTGGGTAGAGATCGAGACGGGTTGGTGTAGAAATTGGCGGAAGCAACTATGGATTCCGAGGAAATTTCCAAACAAAGCGATACAATGGTAGTGTGGGTGTAGATAGAACGGTATGAAGAAATCACCTGAGTTAGAGAGAGAGAGAGAGAGAGAGATACTGGAGACAATGGTGACTGGTGAGGGTGAAAGAAACCATCGGAGAGCATGAGGAAGGAACCGAAATGGAGAGAGATGAAGAGTGTGAGTCGAGATGGTGAGCAAAACCAAAATGAAGAGAGAGGGAGAGTGAGTGCCTGAATTTCTAAGATTAAAACAAATTTTACAATCAGACTTGAACTAAAAAATATAATTCACTGCCACAAAATAGATTTTATAAACAAATTTACAATCTATGATCAAAATAGAATTCCCTGCCACCAAAAAAAATTCCTTCAATGCCTTACTAATCTAGGATAATTGTTAGAGACATCCATAGAATTCACTGCCACCATTGCCTTGTTGAACTCAATAAACAATCAAACAAAACAGTTTTTTTTTTTTTTTTTTCCAAAAAGGAAAAAGAAAACAATAAACACACTTACAAATTTGTTTATTTGTTTAATAAACTCAAGAAACATGTTGCCACATTACACCTTTGCTCACAACCCTTGCAATTTACACATTCAATTTAAAATTGGGGTAAGTTAAATATGCACCATTAATACTTCCATCTTAATGTGTTTGCAATATTCAAAAATAAAACCCAACAAAGTATAAGAAATTATAAAAACATAAATCAAACAATTTCATAGAAAAAGACCTATCTCATCTCATAGTAACCTATTTCACATAAATCAAACAATTTCAACCCATTTCATTTTCAAATAAATGAAATCAACATAAATCAAACAATTTCAACCCATTTCATTTTCAAATAAATGAAATCAAAATCATAAAGAAACACAAATAATTCTGCCCAACTTCTCTGCACTCCTCTTTTACTTATCCATAAAGAAACCCAAGAAATTTTTTTTAATCAACACTACATAAACAAACCTTCTACAAAGAGGTCACAAAGTTAATGATTGAAACACGTAAAAGTAAAAGTAAAGGAATACCAAAATCAAAGTGGTTCACAACTACTCTTAGTTATCTACAAAGAAATTTAAAAAAATAATAATAATCAACATTTTCATGTTTAGGCCACACAGTTCAGTCAAAAACATAAAACCAGAGTGGACATTAGGAGTATGATTTTCAACATTTTCTTTATAAGAGTCTTAGTAAATAATTTTTATTATAGTTATTTATCAAAAAAAAAAAAAAGTCCTAGTAAATTGAAGTTATTAAGTCCCATTTAAAGATTCAGATCAAGCATCCAAGTCAAACACTAAACCCCAAATTGAAAATCCCCAAATTTTGAAATTGAAAAGCCTCGAATCATAACTCAAAACCCTAATATCTGAACATGTACCTGAAATTGGGCGGTGCGAGGGAGAGGTACGAGAGCTCCGGCCGGGGGGAGAGGTGAGACGGCTCCGTTTGCTTCGTTCGTGGGTCTTCATCGACCGGGCGGAGAAGCGAAGACGAACGGAGCTGCGAAGGAGGTAACTCCGAAGGACTGCTCGAGCGAAGAAATGGCTGTCGCTCCGAAGGGCAACTCTTCCCTCCGTTTTCTCTTCATGTTCTCTTCTTCGTCTTTGCTCTCTCTCTCTCTCGAACGCATCTCTGTCTCCCTCCAGCTAGTTTTTGCTCTATTTTAGGGGGCTCCTAAATTTTAGGATGGAATTTTGATTTAAGGTAAAATTTTGGGGCGTTTGCTGGAAGAAATTTGAATTTGGGACAAAATTTTGTAATAAAAATTGGTCTTAATTTTATACATTTTTTATTTACGTTTGTATTTTTACCTTTATTAAAGTTTAATTAAATGCAAAAATTATGATTTTAATCAATAAATAATTATTATATTAAAAAATAATTACTATTATGTTGTTAATAATTTATTATTTAATCAATAGTTATTACAAATAATAACAAATTTAATTAATATTAACATTAAAGTAATTTAACATACATTAAAGTAATTTACCATTTTAAATTAATAATTTAATCAAATAATTATTTGAACTAGTATAGTTAATTAATAATTTTTTTGGTCACTTACCAACAGTCCTATTAAATAGACTTATACAAGATTGATAAATTTATCAATAAGACTTAATGGATAATAAGTCCCAAAAGTATGACATATTGGTAATTTATCTTAATTTTTTTGTTTATTTAATAATTATAAAATACAATTAAAACTTGGTAATATTAACATTGAAGAAATTTCATGTTAGTTGCATGCTTAACCAATTGCAAGAGCTAAATGAATGTATGACCCTAACACTGATCTACATCCATCACAAACCTTTATTTATTTATTTTTTTACCTTTCTCTTTATGTCTCTTTCTCTCTATTTTATCAATGAAAAAATTAAAATTTGTAGAGGCAATTGTCAAAAAATTCAAAACATATTTTTTTCTCATTTATCTCGTGATTCTTCTATAATTCTTCGTCCTTGTAGGCCTCTTTTCGCTATACGAAAATGTACCACACCCCTTGTATTATTTGACTTCCCTAAAGCTATCACCAAGTACCAATTTACTCCTCTCAAAAATGATACAATTAAACCCTTCAATAATATATACTAATACATGAACTATAACTTGCGAGAATAATGTGTTGACATGGTTGCGCTACGTCTTCATTAGATGGAAGGGCCAATTTGATAATATTCAAATTGTTAATCATGCCACATATCTAATTAGATTAGATGGATAAACTTAGTGTAAAGTGAAATGCCAAATTAGATGTGGTTATGATGTTAATTGTTAAATTTCACCTAAGCATTTACTCATTAGTCCGTCTTTGGCATTTGATTTTATAATTTTTACTCATTTATTAGGGTAGCGTTTGGTAACGTTTACGGTTTTTATTTATGTTTACAAAAATTTTATAAACTGGTTTTTGTTTATTTTTAGAAAAACAAAAACTACAAACGCGTTTGGTTTGAACAAAATGTTTAAAAAATTTTAAAAACATAAATTTAAAAATATGTTTGTTCAGGCATAAAATATTTTATATTTATTTTTTATTATTTATGACAATGAGATCATACACGTTATAATTGAAAAAAAAATTAATTAAAAGAATTATTTGAAAAAAAAATTAATCGGAAAAAAATATTTGAAAAAAAAATTATTGAAAAAAAATTATTTGAAAAAAAAAATTTGTTAGTCAAATTTTTAAATTTCTGTTTAAAAACCAACATAAACTCATTTTTTGAGTTTATGTTTTTTTTTTCAAATTTACAAATTAAGACAACAATTTATAAACCAAAAAAATTATCAAACAAGTTTTCATGACAGTTTTTTAAACTTTTGTAAATATAAGCTGAAAACAAAAAGGTTACCAAACAGACCCTAGAAATTTCACTTTGCTAATAGTTAAATTTCACCTAAACATTAAGGCTAAATTTCACTACTTGAAGAGAATGAAATTTCGCTAGTTGAAGACAATGAAATAATTATTACTATCAAGTTTCCATTAAAAAATATTAAAATTTTGGTAATTTAATATTTTAGAATTAATTAGACAACTAATTAATTAAAAATTGTTACTATTTGCATAAATTATCTAATAGATCAGGAATACCACGTGTTCATGTGCCCAACTAATAAAATAACTTACTTTTAGTTTGGATTTTTGAGAGCCCAAAATTAAAAAATCATTCAGCTTGCTTGGTTCCATTTTTCCAAAAATACTTTTCAGAAAATTCTACTTTCGTATTTTTTATTTTTTTTGTTTTTACTTAATTTTTTTTAATATTTTAAGCAATTTTCTACTTTTTAGACACACCTAAAAAGTAAAAAAATTTTAAAAAAAATCTTTTAAAAATTCACTAAATACCAAAAATACAAAAAAAAATAAGAATTCAGTACATTTTTTGTGTTTTTATGTATTTATTAATTTTTAAAATATTTTTTCACAAATTTTTTACTTTTTAGATACATGTAAGTAAGATGCATCTAAAAAAGTAAAAAAAAAAATGTTTAAAATTTTAAAAATATTCACTAAAAACAAGAAAACCAAAAAACTCAATTTTCAAAAAACTTAATCCAAAAAACTCAAACCAAACACACTGGTAATTATGATAATGATTACGGAGGTGAATGATTGTAGTAGTAGAGGTGGTGGTGGAGAGGTGGTGACAATGATCATAAAAACTGTGATTGGTAGTGAAATGATGGTATGTTTTATGGTGATAATGACAATGATAATGAAGATGGTGGTAATAACAATGGTGGCTTGATAATGGTGGTGGTGGTGGTGGTGACAGTGACAGTGACAGTGACAGGGATAGTGATGATGATAGCAACAATATTAGTGATAATTGTAGCGATTGTAAGGTTATAATGGTATATGTTGATGCTTATGTATAAATATTTATAAATTCAATTAGCATTAAATAATTATATAATTTAATGTGAGAAATTCGTCATAATTTAAATGACTTTTATCTTATAAACTTAAAATTTAATGAAACAAATGAATTGGATAAAGGGTACCCTGCCTCTTACACCAACACCACCACCACTAGCACCACCACCATCACCACTGTTACAACAGTTGTCATGCCCCGTCACCACTTGAACTCCACTACTATCAGCTATCATGCCCTATCACCACTTGAACTCCACTACTATTACTACTCTACCACCACCACCACAGTCGCTCCTTATACCACCACCGCCATTGCTACTACCCTACCACCACATCCACTTTCACCCCACCGCCATGTCTACTAAAGTTCTTCGTTGCCTCATTGGTCACCAAAGCCTTGTCGGCAATAGTCAATGGCGACTAAATTGATGTTGGTCACTAATTATCTTATCTTTCGCTACTAAAACGAGCTTAGTCGCCAAACATAACATTTTGTCGACGAAATATTTAATCGCCAAAACTAATTAAATCAAAATGAAATTCTCTTTCCGCGAATAAAATATTTAGTTGCTAAAACATTTTAGTCGCTAATAATAATATAATTACCGACTAAAAATTTTAGTCACTAATAATAATACATTTAGTGACCAAATAGTTTAGTCATTATTAGTTTTCATGACTAAACATTTTAGTTGGCAAAAGATTAGATATTTTCATTTCATCGTCTTTTACGACCAAACATTTTAGTTACCAAAGGATGCCATGTTCTTTCATGAATAAAATATTTAGTCAGCAATAGTTTCTTCCCTAATCTTGATTTATTTTGACTACTAACTATTTGGACACCAAAAGTCTGTTGTTTCTTTTTTACTACTAAATATTTAGTCATGAAAAACCTTTGCTTGCATTATTGGCTACCAAAATATTTAGTCGCGAAAAGCTTTATAATTTTTTTTAATTAATTTCTTGACCACCTGTATTTATTTCATTATTAGTGCAACTTGTACCTTGTATATAAATAAAATATTCCATATACTGATGAAATTAGTAACCATTCCACAACATGCACACATTTCATTTTCAACCATCAAAAAAATTCATATTTAACATCAAATTATACATGCAATAGAAATTCCATATAAACCAAATATAATCCAACCTCAAAAATACAAGTCCATACATAACAGAGGATTAAACAAAATTAATATCCAAAAGTTAATCAGTACCACCAAAAACTAATTTGTACCACGCCAAAATTTAATCTGTACCACGCCAAAAGGTAATCTGTACTGCATCAAAAATTATCTGTACCACATCAAAAGCTAAGTTGTACCATGCCATAAAACTAATGTGTACGAACAATTCTAATCCGTAGACTAAAAACAATTTCTTTTGTACTTATCAAAAAAAGTCATATCCACAATTCCACGCCAAAAACCATCTGTACAAATAAAATTAATCATTAGTATTAACTAAATATTGGAATATTTAAAATTATAAAAATATATATATATAACTCGAATATAATTAATATTTTCAAATAAATCATTAGTTTTGCATGCTCGAATTTATATAAAAGAAAAATATGTAAAACTCGAACGCATATTTCAAGCAACAAGTAATATTTTACAAGTAATAATTGCACGTAATTAATAATTATTTTTGCATATCCACCATCTTACAAGTAATAATTGCACGTAATTAATAATTATTTTTGCATATCCACCATCCGAACTCCTTTTTTCGATTAAGTTTAAGGTGTTTTTGCCCCTAATTCCCAGCCTACGTGTCTTATTTACGTACCGTCTGTTCCTACAGGTACATTTGGCACGGGGAACCTACTGGTTACATCACAACATTGGCTGAGGGGCTGTTTTGCATTTTCGCACCTCCAACGCATTTTTTGACTAAACCTCATTTGGGAACGTGCTTTTTAAGTAACTTTTTAACTTTTTGGCTAAAATATGATGTTAAAAAACTAGTATGTTTGGGATGATTTTTGATTTTTTATGAAAAGATATGCAAAAAGTAGAGAGAAAAGATAATCTTTGACTTTTTGGTATAGGTTGTTAGCTTTTTTATTTTTTTAGTGACTTCTTGGCTTTTAGGCTAAAAGGATTACATCCCAAACAAGGGCTAAGTTTAAGGTATTTTTGACTCTAACTCCCAACCTACGTGTCCGATTTCCATACTGTCTGTTCCTACAGGTCATATTTGGCACAAGGAAGCTGGCTGTTACATCACAACATTGGTTGGGGGTCAGTTTTGTATTTTTGCCCCTCGAACGCCTTTTTTCGACTAAGTTTAAGGGATTTT